GACTGGCTGGGGGGTAGGGTGATTGGTTCACAAGATGACTGGCTGGTGGGTAGGCTGACTGGTTCACAAGATGACTGGCTGGTGGATAGGCTGACTGGTTCACAAGATGACTGGCTGGTGGGTAGGCTGACTGGTTCATAAGATGACTGGCTGGTGGGTAGGCTGACTGGTTCACAAGATGACTGGCTGGTGGGTGGGCTGATTGGTTGAGACAGGATAAAGGATGAAGCTACTCACACCAGCCGATCGATGACAATAAACAGAATGTAGTATCTGTCGGAGTGCTCATCATTGATCACAAACACCTTCCACAAATAGAACGCCTGAAGACATAAAAACATGAAGAAAGTTACCTTAACAGACAGCACAGCAAAATAACAATATTGGGGACAATTAACGCATGCTTTGCTTTACTAGCAATGATGACGGTACAGTAATTTGCCGCTCTACACAACTGTACATCTTTTTACCTTTTAGGATCAAATCCACATAAAAATTTGTGAATAGCCAGACACAATCATCAGATCGAACCCGCCAGCTGACAAAAAAAATCCAAAAGCTGTGCAAGCTGTGTGGACAATTAACTGCTGATGAGTTTCCAACTTGTCTTGTTGTGATCAATGTTCAACTACTGGGCCACCTAAACTTGTCTGGCAACTTTGGCAGGTAAGTGAGCGGAACATCAAAGACAAAGCCAGGAATTGCAAACGGTGTGGCTCTGACCAAATGACTTCAAGAGTGTTATTCAGATTTGATATGTTATCTGGACTTCATGTCAGGGCAGACATGTTTCGGGAAATAACCAATATGTGAATCACTGGTCACGCAAGAAGGAAAGGGGGTGTGGCCCTCTCGGACACCACTCCTCCAACAGATCCAACCTTCTATGGAATGAAGTTTTGGGCAGCACTGTGTGACAGTAGGGTTACAATCAACAGGGCCACATCTACCACTTCTTTTGCACCTGTGGAGCTGTCTGTTAAAAGGTTTTCTGGGTATAAAGCCATTTGAAAGGAAGTACCCGCAAGACGTGAACAGAATGGAGTCAGGGGGTCCGTCCTCACCTGTAACACCATCCAAATGAACTGTGCCAGAAAGGAGAAGTGGATCAGCACCTTTAGGCCAGCACAGGAGGGTGCAGAGACAGAGCTACTCACATACACTGAGATGACAAAGATGATCTGAGGAGAGAACAGGTGGACAGGTTATTTTCCAATTAATATCAATCCTAGCTCCCTCAGAACTCTTGCTAGGAATCTTACTCAATCCTCCAC